AGGCTTGAGTTTCCACAAAGTTCCATTTTATTAGGGATGCCATATTGGCACATCCGGGAAAACCCGAATCTGAAAGCTTCCAGGTTTTCCCCACCCAAGTGAAAGTTCAAGTCCCTGCCCAGCACCCACATATCAATCACATGGTCCAATCAGGCATCATCCCAACTGGAGATACCTCCCAGTCACACCACTCCAAGTGCCAGGCAAGATGTCCTTGACTCGTAGAGAAAGGAATGTTATTTAGACTATATATCTCCCATACTCCATATAATTCCCCTTCCCATTTTCCCACAGCAGAAATTGTGGCAGGCCTGAAGGCCCAGTGTAGAAGATGGCTTCCAGGCCTGACAACTGTTCATTTTTGAAATAGATGGCATTTTTTGACATCTTGTTTCAAACAAAAGAAAGGGTGCTAATGACAAGATGACTGCAAAGAATACAAATCCTTCCATTCTCCATCAGTTAGAACTGAAGAAACTTCTTGGATGAGAAGTTAAGTGTTTAAAGGGAAAGAAAACTAAGAAAATCCAGTTGCCTTTTGGAAAAAGCATCTTTGGAATAACCATGACCTGGATGATTGAGAATCTCCATAGACATCTGGACAACGATGTCTACCCCAAATTTAACACTGTGTAGATGAGCTACACCATAGAAGTTGTTGGCACTGAGAGGACATTAACTGAGCATGACCTTCTCTCCATTTCACAGCTTCTGGGAAACTTCCAGTCTAGCAAATATTGCCTCCAGGCTCAACTAAGGAAGAGAAGTGCCATGAGTGTGTTCAAGGAGACATTTTACCCCCGTACTTAATGGGATATTTCTTCTTTAATCGAATCTCTGCTTTTATTGACTTGCCATTCCATGGGCACAATTGTTGATACTTTTGGTTTTGTGAAACCCTTAGCTGAAAACCAGAGTAATTTTATAGGACCCTTGTTTTTCTTTTTTTTAAAAAATAATGTCCTTCCACCAAATGAACAATTCTCCAAATTACTTATTTAAAATTCTTTTCTCCAAAGCTCTTTTGAAGTTGGAGCTTAATGGAGAAGAAACACAGACTTTCCCCCTTGGTTACTGCACTGTGCAGTTATTTATTCCTTTTATTGAAGTGAGGACGGGCTTTATGTTTCTTTGCCTTTCCCAGACCCACTTTTCAATCCCATGCCTGTTTTCAGAAAGGGCTCGCTCCTAGGCAGCTGGCACAGAAAAGGACGAAAGGCTTTCCCAAACTGAAAAGACTGTTTGGATTGCAGCTAATTCTCGGTTTCCTTTTGTGTCCAGTACACAGAGAGGGAAGAGGGTGGGAGAGCAAGTTCTAATTGAATCAAGAGGAAGGCCCATCAGCCCCTGCACCTGGTGAAAAAGAGCTGGGCATGCTTTAATTACGATCTATTGTTGACAAGCCTTTGGTGGGTGTGAAACTGCTGAAATGAGAAGCTATTCAAATAGAGGTCAGTCCCAGAAACCTCACAGCAGAATGATTAACAAGGCAAGTAGGCTTTCAGGGCCAGCCAGCCAGAAAGAATAGGAAATTGGCAACAGAGGCTGTGAGAAAAGCAAAGTGAATGCAAAGAAAACTGAACTGGAATACAGGATCCCTATATGAATTTCTTTTTTAAAAAACCCATTTATGAGAAAGCATGTTTCTCACAAAAGGATGTTCTTTTGGAAGAAGCAGTAAACTCTCTCCTTTTATACAAAATGCAATGTAAAGGCCAATTAACTTTTTTTTAAAAGTGGTGCTAGAGAAATCTCACCCCGCCCTAAATTCTCCCAAAGTCCTTCAGTTCATTTCACATCTGGCAAGACGATCGTGTGCCAATTCCCAATAAGGGGTGTGCATAAGTGCACCAGCGTGCCTACCATCCCTGTCCTAATGTTCCCTTGTATTCATATTCATTTCTTGTATTCATAATCATGTCTATACTTATATCTGTTGCCTAATTCAGGCTTGACAAAATAAAATAAATAAAAATAAATCCTTCAGAGATCAATTTCTNGAAATGTTTTTACTTTTATCAGTAACAGAATGTTGGGAGTATTGGAATACAATACAAGGTGCAAGGAATTTCATGTCAGCTATAATCTCAGAAATCAAATAATCATGCTATTTGGATTGTGGGTTTTTTTCCTTCTTCTTAAGTATGATAAAAGAAATTACAGATTTGGGGGATTTTGTTTGAGAAAAACTTTATGAAATATAAATATCAAGTACAGGTTTATGCGCAGTTTAAAAGTTCCACTTTGGTCTTTCATGTAGGCACCTGGAGCACAATGTCCTCACAGAAGTGAACGGTGGTTCTCTGTATGGCCTGGCGTCCCTTCAACAATTTCATCTGAGTAACAACCTGATATCCAGTATCAGTCCTACTGGATGGAACTTCTGCCAAAAGCTGAACGAACTGTAAGTTAGCTAATTTGGGAGGCAACCGTTGATAATAAATATAGAAACTTTGGCACTGCAGTATGTGTAGGCACTGCTTTAAGAGAGAAAGGTTTTTAGAAGATTCAGGTTTTGTAGAATGCAATTATTACACCCTCAAAATGCTACTTTTTAAACTTAGAAAGTTTGGGACTAGGGCAGTGATGGCTAACCTTTTCCGGACCGAGTGCCCAAAGCGCATGTACATGCTCGAACCCCCAAAATACAATGCGTGTGCACCTCTGTGCATATGCCCTGCCCACCATGCATGCGCGTACCCCCCCCCCCGGTGTGGCAGAGACCCAACAGACAACTGAATTAGGGTGACGTGTTGCGTGCCATAGGTTCACCATCAGGGGACTAGGGAATATTAAGGCACTGTTTCTTCCACAATAACCATCAGTACTAAAGTTGTATTTTTTCTCCAAATGCGAATTCTATCAAAGACATTTGTTTCACTTAGATAAATTATTTTCAACAGTCGGCATCCATATATTAGTTTCCATCACCAGCAAGCCTTATCAGTCCCTAACCTCTCTTAAAAAGCCTTTTTATTAACCTAGATAAATATGAAACATTTATTGCATCCTTTTGAACCTTTTCTCCAGCATCTAACTGTGCTTGGTTGATTTGTATATTTTTATTATATTTATTTTAATTTCAAATCTTTTTAAAACACTGGATAAAAGATGAATTGAGTATGTGTATGCATGCACCCGTTTATAAATTTCTACTGTACATGCATATATGGTTTTTTTTAAAATGTCAGTGACGCTAAGGAAAACATCAATTGATGTCCCTAGAGGTCTTTGAGATTTTTCTTTAACCCAAGATTTTGATACTGTGTGTGCTTCTCTTGTTAATGTCTGTTTTAGTTTCTTCCAAATAGCCAGATAAGGAGTGTTAAGAAAGCTATTGAAAACATCTTTTAAGGATACACATTCAGTCATTCAGCGGACACATGGATTTATCCAGAATACAAGGGACTTCACAAATCCCTTAATTCATCCCATTCTGGAATGAAAATGTGTTTTTTGATAAATCTTCATATCATATTTTTGAAGTATAAGACGCACCTTTCCCCTCCTAAAAGAGTGTGGAAATGTTGGTGCACCTTATACACTGAATACAGCCATTTGGGGCCTCCTGAAGCCCCACCCCCACATCCCATTTTTGTGAAAAACTGAGGCATTTTTGCCTCCCCCAGCCCTGCTGAATCCTGCATAGTGCTCCTGGGGGCTGGGGAGGACAAAAACTTTTATTTCTTACTTACCTCTTGGTAGATATAATTTATAATTTATACATTTTATATATACATATATATATACACATATGTATACAATTTATATATAAGAGAATGTATGTGTGTGTGTGTGTATATATATATATATATATATATATATANATGTAAGGGAATCATGATTTACTGGAAAAAAATAATACTAATTGTAATTGAACATATACTGTACAATGAAAGTGAGGTAGTTATACCAGATGAAAAATCTGAGATGGTAAATATTATTTGAGAATATGGATGTTAAAACACCTGTAACCAAACGACATGCTGTATGTGATGTTTTTTTTGTTTTTTATTGTTGCGTGTATGTGTTGTCTATGTAATAAAAATAAAAAATTATATTATAAAAAAAAGAAGAAGAAGAAGGCCATCAGCCACTGGCCTGAATTTCTTAAAAAAAGAGGAAGCCATCCATTCTATGGGGAGATTCAGTAGCAAAAGCACTAGATGGGTATCAAAGCATCCTTTTCAAACAACTAGATCAGGGGGCCGGGACCAACTACCAAGGTGTGGCTTGTTTGAAAATGGACCGCAGGAGAAAAGGACAACTGCGTATTATGCGCGAAGCCTCCGCTCATACAAGCAGAGGGCAAGCTCCATTTGTGTGAATGGAGCTTCGCGCACGAGCACAACAAACCCTCCGCTCTCGTGGGAAGCGCCATTCGTGCGAGTGGAGGGCATGTGTGTGCACCACTCGCCCAAATGGAGCTGTGCATGTATGCCTTGATCTTGAAAAAAAGTTCAGAGAAGAGCAATTAAGATGATCAAAAGCCTGAAGACTAAAATATATGAAGGACGGCGGCAGGATCTGGGTTTGGCTAGTCTAGAGAAAAGAAGGACTGGGGGGGGGCATGATACCAGTATTCCCATATTTGAGGGGCTGCCACAAAGAAGAGGGGGTCAGATTATTCTCCAAGGCACCAGAAGGCAGGGCAAGAAACAATGGTTGGAAACTGATCAAAGGGAGAAGCAATCTGGAATTGAGGAGAAACTTCCTAACAATGAAGCCAATTAACCAGTGCAATAGCTTGCTTTTGGAAGTTGTGGGTGCTTCATCACTGGAAGTTTTTAAGAAGCAATTAGACAGCCACTTATCTGAAATTGTATAGGGTTCCCCTGCTTGAGCAGGGGGCTGAACTAGAAGACCTCCAAGGTCCCTTCCAGCTCTGTTCTATTCCATTCTAAAGCCTGCCACTCCTCTCCTCCTCTTTCTCACTGCCATGCGGGGGCCCCCAGCTGGAAAGGTAAGGGACTGCTGAACTAGAGGACAGCGTAGGCCAGCTGATGCTCTGGTACCTGAGAACCTTTTTGACATTTGTGCATCTCCCACTATTGAACTGCTACTCTCAGCATCCTCCTCCCTAGGCTACACTTGTTACAGTCACTGGTGTCAACGTCCAGCAGCATCTGGAGAATCAGAATTCCCTTCTGCCTGAGAACATATCCCCACTTTCCATGTTTGGATGAAAAGATATCAATAGATATCGTAAGGTAAAGGTTCCCCTCGCACATATGTGCTAGTTGTTCCCGACTCTAGGGGGCGGTGCTCATCTCCGTTTCAAAGCCG